GGGCCCCGGAGGAAGGGCTTAGCGGGTGGGGGGGGCGGCGGGTCAGGAGTGAGGAGCACCGGCAGGGTTGGGGGGGCAGGGAGCTGCAGGTTGGGAGTGAGGGGCACCAGCAGGGCCATCTCTATCCTCTCCAGACCCGCACCTAATCCTGGGTGCCGAGGAAGGCATCTTCACCCTCAACCAGAGCGAGCCCGAGGCCACGCTGGAGCTGGTGAGAACAGGAGGGAACGGGTGCAGGACCCCCACCCGCCTGGGGCAGGGGGGAACATGGGGGTGGGGAGGACAGGGTGCAGTGGCCGGGGGCAGGGGGTAGGGACAGAGAATAGGGCCTGATAGAGGAGGGGGCTGTGGGGCAGAGTAGCCCCCCGCTCGATTTCCCCCTGCACCCAGGCTGATGCCCACCTTCCCGCAGCTTTACCACAACCGGACATCCTGGGTGTACACCATTGGCAATGTCCTCATGTCTGTCTCGGGTGAGCATGGGGCAGGGGCTGTGGGATGGGAGTGAGGGGCGCAGGGGGTTGCGGGTCAGGAGTGAGGGGCACTGGGGTGGCCAAGCGCTGCTGCTGGGAGTGAGGAGCACTGGCCGGGGTGGGGTGGGGGCAGGCCTCCCTCTCCAGGCCCCACCAACAACCCCCTTCCCAGGCAAGACCCCCCAGCTGTACTCCCACAGCCTGCCGGGGCTGTATGAGCAGAGCAAGCGGGACCAGCGCCCTGGCGTGCACCTCGGCCCCCACCGCCTGCTGCCCAGGTACCCACCCCCAAGGGCCCCTTGCTGGGAGGTGGCTCCAGGAATCAACCCCAGCCCTGCAAAAGTAGGACAGATGCGGCTGGGCTGGGGGGTGTTAGGCTTAGGGGTGGGGGTCCTCCAGTCCCATTCAGCCACTGCGCTCTGCCCACAGGAGGAACCCCCCTTCCAGCAAGATCCCTGACACCAAGCGCTGCCGCACCTGCTGTGTGGGGCAGTCGCTCCAGCCCCCCCCCCCCCCCCCCCGCCACTGCCATTCTGGGGGCCTCCTGTGACCCCTGCCGCCCCCAGCTGTGGACCGTGGGTAGAGGGGGGGGGAACAGGGGGCACCACAGCTGCCCCCACAGCCTCTAACACCCCCCCACGTCCCTAGCCAGGAACATGCAGAGCGGCTGTCACTACCTGTGTGGGGCACTGGACACGGGCGTGGTGCTGCTGCAGTGGTACGAGCCCATGGCCAAGTTCATGCTCGTCAAGGTACTGGCCCCACTGCCCCCCTTCCCAGGTGCAGGGGATGGGAGACCCCCCTCATCCCTCCACCCCCATTGCTGGGGCTGCACCCCAGCATGCTCCACCCAGGGACGCCAACCCAGCGAGCCTGGCAGAGCCTCCTCCCTCCCTGTTGCTGGCCACATCCATCTGCTCTGCTGTCTTCACACACCTCTGTCCCCCGCCACCCCATGCCAAGGCCCATCTCTGTGTGCGGGGCAGGGGTCAAGGGTCAGACCCCCCTGATCCTGCCCCCGCTCCGCCCCTGCAGCACTTCGACTTCCCGCTGCCCAGTCCGCTGCCTGTCTTCGAGATGCTGGTGGCGCCGGGCGAGGAATACCCCAGCGTCTGCATTGGGCTCGGCCGCGGCCCCTCGCCCGCCCGCCCCGTGCGCTTCCACACCATCAACCTCAACTCCCTCACCTCCTGGTTCGCCCACACTGATGCTGGTGAGGGGTGCCCTGCAGCTGTGTCCCTGTCTGCCCATTTCTGTGCCTGTGTCCCTCTGCACGTCTGTGCATGTGTTCATATCTATGCCTGTGTCCTTTTCTGTGCCTGCATCCATACCCATACCCAGGTCCATGCCTATGCCCATCTTTGTCCGTGTCTGTGCTTGGGTCCGTGTCTGTGCCTGTCTCCACGCCCTTTTCCATGGCCATGTCTGTGCCCGGGTCCCTGTCTGTGCCTATGCACACCTGGCATTGGGCAGGGGGAGGCACAGACACACCTGAGCATACCGTAAGCTCACATGTGACAACACAGGGGTGGGGGCAGTGGCTCCTGCCCATGCCCACCCCACACTCATGTCTCCCCAGAGCCCCCCTGCCCCGGCCCCATCCAGGTGACGCAGCTGGACAGCGAGACTGTGCTGGTCCTCATTGACCGTAAGTGCCCGGCAGGGGGCTGTCTGTGCAGGGCCTGTGTACCCGGAGGGTGCGAGGTGGGGTCACACTCAGGAGACGGGGAGCAGGGGGTAGCTCAGCAGGGCGGGTGGGGGGGGGTCATGGGTCGTAGCACTGGGCAGGGTGGTGGGAGCAGGGGGGTCTGACCCATCCCCCCCACAGGAAGCATCAAAGTGGTGACACTGCAGGGAGCCCTGGTTCGCCGTCTTGAGGCCCCCGAGATCCTCTTCGACGTGGCTGTGGGGGCCGTGGGTGGGGGTTGGGGTGGAGAAGGGTCCCCTCCACGGCTCCCCACCAGCTGTGCCACTCCCCAGCATCATCTGCCCCAAATGACCAGCCTGGCTCGGTTCGGGGTGCAGAGGGGCCTGCCCCGGGCAGGGAGTTGGGGCTGGGGGGCCACGGCACTGATCCCCCTCCCCCAAATCACTCTGGTTCCTGCAGTGCTGGTGAGGAACTGCCTGCAGGCCTTCTGGCGCCACGGGGTGCAGGTGCGCCACTTCGGCTCCACGCAGGTACGGCCCCCAACCCCTGCTACGCTGACCCTTGACCCCACAGCCCCCCCACCCTGACCCCATGGACCCCCCACGCCAACCACAGCAACAACCCCACTCCCCAACTGGGGGAAACCCATCACCAACCCCCGCCAGCCTCCAACTAGGCAGGGCTGCCCCCCAGCACCTGTGTCTCCCCCCCAGTTAATCGAGGAGCTGCGAGACCAGCGCTGGACCTTCCGCTTGCTGGGCTCACACAGGTACGTCCCCACCTCGCTGGAGGGGTGCACGGACTGGGGGGCTTGTGGGGGGGCGT